TATAACATCTAACGCCTGTTTCACACATACTCCATCTGCAGTGCGTGTGTGTTGCGGGTTTTTTTACGCACCCATGTTAACGGATTAGAGCTTTCACACTGCACGCGGTTGCGGTCCGTCAGTGCGTTCCAGGTGCGGTGCGTCTGCAGCAGTGCAGCGATCGTTTTCGTACCGAGTCTATTTTTGCTGTGCTGCACGCGCTGAATTAAAGTGACAGTGCATTGTTCATGGTAAAAATGAACATGGATTGAGACTGAAATGTAGTAATTTCACAATAAATAGATATAATTAAAGTCTACTGTGTTTCACAGGCTTTTTGGCTAGGTTTAAAACAAATAAAAGTGCACTTTTAGATATACAAGGCAACATATGAACTTGTCTTGTGGAGGTAGAAAAACAAAGTTCTTTAAGGCCCGCTGCTGGACTGTTTGTAATAAAGATTTAAATGTAAAAGGCACGAGAGCCGACTGTTTCTGTCAGTGGTAAGTTTTAATTTAAAATATTTGTGATAGCCTAACACAAGAAAGCTATATGCTGTATTCAAATGTGTTTCCACTTGCTTGAGCAACTTAATATACACATCTAAAAGCCAAATGCATTTAATACGCTGTTTATATTCATTGAGTTTAAACGTGAATATGTCTGAAAGATTGTGTAACTGCTGTGATAAAAGAGGATCACAATGCTGAAAAAACACTTTCGGTATAGGCTAACTACGTTTGGATTTGAAATCAAAATAATGAATAAATGTTGTGTTTGTGGTAAACAGCCGCAGATCAGGAGCGAACTGCAAACGTGTCCTGTGTGAAAGCACAATGAGTCCGTGCTGCTTCTGCACCACATACGTAACGCACTCGGACCGCACACACACTGCAGACGGAGTATGTGTGAAACAGGCGTAACTCCCACATGTTTGATTTAGCAGGTGAGGACACTCGCAGTCAGCTGAAGTGGGATGGCACACCGAGCAAATGGTAGGTAAATATAACATAGCTGCTCTTTGAAATGCTGTCTACCACCTGCAAATGCCAGGATTTGCAGCTTTAATGACGGCAAAACTTTTCTTCCTTTAAATCAAAGAACTGGATAATTAATCCAAAAAGAGACTCCAATTAAGGCTGCCATACTTCAGACTTTCGTGAAAGTGTCAATTGCAGCATTCCATTTAAGTCTACTCCTGATATGTCAAAATGTTTAATTTAAGTGATTTTTTGCAGTTGAACATTGTAACCAATTATAGTCATGCCTTATGCTCCTGAATGCAATGGTGAATCAGAGGTATTTAAATTACTCTAAAGCACCATGACACACCAAAACGACATCAAAGACAACTGTGTTGTCGCCTCGAGTCGCCTATGTCTGGGCCAAAAAGTTGTGCTTGAAAACACTGCAAAGACTATAGCCAACAGCCAAATATCACATAAGTTCTGCGTTTTATGCGGGAGGAACTGTCTTTACCAGCAGGCAGCAGTAGCCTACATTCATCATTCAAAAAGAGAAACCGAAACTAGGACTGTGATATAAAAAACAAAGCAGCAAATTCTTACCATTTTGAATATTATTAATGTTCATCAGTTGGTCTTCACTTTCTTTGTTCCAGGTAGCTATGTTGTAATGAAATTATTTGCATGTTAGAATGTTCAGGTAAGGTTAGAAGAGGTAAAATTAGAAGAGCCATCACTGTTTGCTTGCTTTTGTCACTTTCGCTTTTCTTCTGGTGCACTGCTTCGCTGAGATGAACAGCCAATCATAAACAGTGATCTCTCCCACCGACTGCCCAACACCGATTCAAAATGCTCAATCAGCCAAAAAGCCGCCAACGGGGTCTGACTAGTGCCGACGGTGCAGAACACACTAAGAAAAACTGGGCTGAGAGATGCTCAATGGCGGCCTTCCTTTAGCCGACAGGCGTTCTTTGGCTTGGTGTGCTACGGCATTAGGACTATCTATAACAACAACTGGTCCTAATGAGTGATGTTTAAACAATCCAGTCCATAGATGCATGTTGAAAGTGTCGGTTACATGAAGGCACATGAAAATGATTGCTAAATAAATACCTTGTGTTCCAATAAAAACTCCATTAATCACTTTATTAAAAAAAATCTGTAGAACCAAATAATGAAAATAAAAAATTGGAAGTATTTTGTATTTGAATTCATATTATTTAAAATTTAAAACCACTAACTTTCAGTCTAGGGATGCCACAATTCTCAATATAATACTGAACTGTTCACTATGACATCCACTGTTCACTGTTATTTTTTTGGCTTTGCGTTTAAATAATTCCCATGCGTTTTATCTCTCTTCGAATTGGCTCTGTTTGTTTATCCATGAGTCTACGTGTTGAGATCGGGAAACACCTCCCCACTTATAGCGTGCATTTGAAATCAACACATGCCAAACATCCCGTGTAATGACATGTAATGAGAAGCGTTTCTAAACCTGATGTCAAACAAAAGATAACATTATAAAATTACCCCACAACATTAGTCAAGTGTTTGAAATAACTCCCTTTTGTGATCTGATGTAGCTTCTTACACAGAAGAATGAGGCAGAAAATATATTCTATAGCGTAATAAAGGCTGTCGATTAGAAATTAATAACAAATATACTTAGGCCTAGTTATTATGAAAATACCCTAGATGGCTTGAAGAACACAGATAAACTATATATTGTTGCAATTGAGTGTTTATTGTCTTCATGTTTCATCATTCAAAACTTTTCTATTTTTTTTTTTTAATTCAGCTACAGCAATAGCTGGATACCTTTGTCCATATTAGGGATTTCCTGGAATGTCAGTTCTATTACTTCTGTTATGCATATGTGGATTTTCTGCACAAGGGAGCCCTCCGGTTTCAAGTATGAATAAAACAGACATTACGTGTGTTCAATAATTGCCTTCCTAAGTAATTGCCATCCATCCTATGTTGGGTAAAAACAAGAAACATAATACTTCTCTCAAAAGAAATTTGAAGAAGACATATGATAATCCATGCTTTTCTCCAGTATACAAAAGTCTACAGGAGCTAGAAACGCATCAAAATGCTCCCATTATACTCAGCAAGTACAGACAGAGTAAATTAGAGGTTTAATGTGGAGCACATAGCTTTGGTTATAATAGGAACATTAGCAGGAGTCCAAAACTCAGTGCATGGATGGTCAGTGAGCTCACACTGACAGCAGAACTCAAACAGCCTGTGTAATGTGGATCTGTGTAAATCTGCAGTGAGTGACCGCTTCAGTGATTAGTGGAAGAGCACTAGAATTTAATATTGCTCACTCCCTGTGTATAATTTATCTAAAATTTGATTCACAATTTTTATTTTCATGCTGCAAAATAGTCTAGTAGTCGAAGTAGTCAACCATTCAGGCACAATCCTGATTTACTGATGTATTAAAAGAAAAAAACATTCCACAACACAGTTCGCATCTGGTTTTGTAAATGTTGCCTTTAAAAATAATATCGCATGTATAGAATGCAGTCACCCCACACAAAATAAGTATTTTAAGGTAAATTGTATTAATTGAAACCGATAATTGTAATATCAAGGGACATAATATTTCCATAATTTTTGTCATGAAGCAATACAGTATAATACTACACACACACACACACACACACACACACACACACATGCCTGCACAAATGGACAAAGGCATGCATATAGAGCAGACACATAGTGTACGCGTCACACGCATTAAAAGAAAAAGAGGCAGAAATAGAGAAGAGGGGTCTCGAGAGCTGACAACTTGCCTAACAACGAAAGACTCCCACCTACCTACCAGTGCTCTGCCTTCTGCCTGCCAGCGTCTATGGTGAATAATCTGCCTCTTACTTTATCTTGATTCATCTACACTCATATGTATAACTCACATTTACTACTGTTGTTATGTCTGTTATATTAATATTATTATGTATATTTATTCATATCCACACATATGCATCACACTTATTTTTTACTGCTATCATTCCCCTAATAATGCCTTTTGCATGGTTCTTTATTCCAACTAGTTCCTTGGCAAAACAAATATGCCATTATTTGTCACGCCAATAAAACACATCGTAACACTGAAAGGAAGGCAGAGAGAAAGAAAAGCAGAAAGACACAGAAAAAAAGGAGCCTCGGGGAGAGTAAAAAATGCTAATATAAAAAGTACAAACTGTACCAGTGGCAGATGCTGAGAGGGAAAGGATAGAATAAGAGGAAGAGAAGGAGAGATAACTAAGCGGCATCTGAATGGAAATGGACAGAATGCAGAGCAGAGGGACAATGCGGAGAGAAACAGATAAACAGATTGTGTGAGCGAATAAAGAGAGCATTTTTAAAATCAGTTTCTTAAAACATACAGACACACACATATGTGTGACAGAGGGAGAGGGGGAAAAAGAAAGATAGAAAATCTCATCCCTTTTCTCCTCTCGATTTATTACATTTCCTGCTTCTGAAATGACAGGAGTAATTTTAAAATGTCTCATCGTGCCACTCTTCAGCACACAGACACCTACACGCATGTGGAAGAGAACAGTTCAAAAGGGATTGTTTCAGAGACTGTACTCGAGATTAAATCTGCGAAAACCTCATAAAAACTGACACTAAATGAGACTTCAAGAAGACGCCGTGTAAACATCATCCAAATTACACAGGTACCAAAACCCGGTTTCTAAAATAGTTCACAGCTGCATATCTTCTTCTGCTCAGAAAATACGCTCAGCGTTAAAGTTTGAGCGGCGAACGCGTTCAAAAAGATAATTACGGGTGCCGGATGATTAAAGGCAGCGTCATTAGGAACGATATCATTAAAACAGAGAGGACGGACTGCTAGAAACCACATGTGTTCAATTAATAAGCTGAAGAGGTGCAGTGCTACAAACACACTCGCTGATGGTTCAACTCATTCTTCTGTTTTTAATCATTAAAGCTTCGGTGGATCTCAGACAGCCCTCCAGGCTAGAAAAACACCAATCAAACTTTCACAATTCCACTTTTTTTCTGAAGAAGGTAATAAAGTCTTGATGTATATGTGAGGGAAACTGCATTAACTGTGGCCCAGCACCCCGCAGCAAATAAATGCACGAGTATAACATGTTTGGACAGCTTGAACAGCATCCGATTAGGCACGTTTGGTGTTGCGACTAAGAGCAGTGGTTTTGTCGTCCTCCTTCTTCATGTATAAATAAGCTTACCTAAAGTGCTAGTCTATGTAAACAAGAAAACTACTTAGCACCTACATTATTGTACACTAAACCACCTATTCTGTGTGTTTGCTTTATTAAATTGAAAGGAGTCTATAAGACTAAGTGATGAAAAACAGAAATCTCCCAAATGTCAAAATCAGAAAGAGCCGGGTAATCTGCTCTTATACGTTGAGTCTTATGTAAGGAACACTGATGTTACTTGAAAATTTGATTTGAAACAATTTTCATTTTTAAATCATTCTGTTCTCTCTCTTTTTTTCAATTTTTAAACTCACTGGTAATTGTGTTACAACCCCAGATGCTTAACTGTAAGTATGCCGCCATACGTTCTATTCGAAAATCCTTTTAATGGTTCTCAGACTTTAGCCCTCTCATAAATCTCTGTGTGCCCAAGAGATTATTCTCTAGAGTGGAACGTTAGATTGTCTGCTGCAGGCCTCATCATTGCTTGGAGTTAAATACAAAAAAAAAAAAAAACACTAAGGAAGATTTCAATCCGTTATTAAGCACCTACAAGACAACTATGAGCAATACAGCTGTTTATTAGTATTTTATTAATGGGCCTTTGACTTTAGCCAGTGAGCACAAAGAGCTCTAATAGATTTAATTCCGTCGTGGTCACCTTGTAACCCACATCATCTCATCTGTTGCTTTTATGAGTGGTTCTGGGGCAAGTGACCCAGAATGTTCAGAAAGAAAAAAAATGATCAATTTCCTGCTCCTCTGAAGGGCATATACGTAGATTAATAATGTCAGCCGCGTCAGATGGGGCCACTCAAACTATCTTTTCAGTTATAGAGAATAAATTCTCTCAGTTTTCATGTTTGACACACATTTCTGCTGCCATATAAAGAGCCACAGATGTTTTAAAAGCATCTAATAATGCGTTCATAATAACACAGCAACTGTTACCTCTTAAATATGTGCACTGCACGTAGCACGAATCAAAAGAGTTTTATCGTCCATCTCTCAGAGGAGCAGGAAACCTCACATCTTCTTTGCAACCGTAAACTCTTGCTCCTCATACACCCATCCCTCTCTCTCTCTCTCTCTCTCTCTCCGATGGTACGACAGCTCTGATGGCTGAACTTTAAATGACAGAGATGAAATTAATTCATAGGTGAAAATCCATCATTTCAGATCCGGATTCTGTGTCACCTACAAGCATAAAGAATTAATTGAGTAATCTTACTGCGAGGCAGAGATGGTGAGGGAGCAAGGATGAGAGAGAGGGAGGAAGGGAGAGGGACAATTTCCTGTCAGAGGATAAAGCAACACAAATAAACAAATAATTGAATATAAAAAAATAAATGAATTAAAGAACTGAACAAATAAAAGCATATTTCTATCTGAATATGAAATGAAGGCCTGTTCCACTGCTATTAAATGAGAAGATGCAAAGAGAGAGAGAAAGGAAAAAAAAAGTGATTTTTTTTCTATCTCTGTGTTTTCTGCATTCATATGCGTTAGTGGGAGTCATAATTCAATACAGAGGGGAGGTGTGACTGTGGGGTGGGGGGCATGACTACGTGGGCAGCGTGTAGATATACATTCACTTTGCTGAGATGTGTGCGTTTGTGTGTGTAGGTGTGTTGCTGTAAGTAAAGACACTATGGCAGAACAACTGTTCTGTTAGTGTAGTATAGTGAAAAATAATTAATGTTAAAGCTGCATATAACAACACACACACACACACAGGCTATCTGTGAGTGCTTTAGTGTTTCAGTAACTTGACATATACAGAGACAGACACATACACAAATGTTGTGGAATGATGGTGTTGGTAAGACACTAGAGTGCCTGCTTTGAGACTTGAAAGCCCAAAGCATTTACACACTGCCGTCTTGGGGATTGACTGTTACATGAGCTAATCTATCTCTCAGAAACACATACGCGCTTAAAAAAAAGTGTGGTGAACGGCTGTTCCCTCATGCTCAATTTGTACTGCAGATGTATAGTTTTTCAATTCCTCCAGACATTCATTGGATTAATTGTATTATTGTCTGATAATCATAGATCCTGCTTTCACCGTGGCATGTCTGTCTCAATTCCGTCACCTTTGACTTTCATTATAATCTCATTTTACCTTTTCAAGACTATGTAAATTAAAAACCTTTAGCATGATAATGAATTTACTGCGGCTGTGTAATCTGCAGTCTGCCATCATTTGAAGACGAACTGCGGCATTTATCGGCACTGGAGCCATGACACTGGCTGAACTGTGAAGGCGGGAGTCTGCGCCGAGACGAGGGACCTCGTGGCTCCCGACAGGAAAAGACTCTTTTAGCACCTGCGATGGTTAGCGATCTCAAGAGACCCGGGAACACAGGTGCTGTGAGCTCTTATAAAAGCTGTCTAGAATCTACAGTATACAGCAAGCTAACAGTGGATGGTGTGAAATGCAGGCAGACCGTTGAGAAGCCATCGAGTGCTGTGCTGAAGCTAAATCAGTAAATTAGCATGTCTTACTGTGGTGTTGCTCTCAGGAAACAGTTTGGGAAAAAATGTGACAGTTCTAGTAGTGTAAAATCAGGCAATGCTGCAGAATATCTGAATATATGCGTACATGCTTTCCCGGTTTATTATTTTTTAGAGAAGAAGAACCTTTTTTACTCTGCTTCCACATGCTTGTCTACACCTCATGAGAAACTGTGTAATTGGCTTTATGAGCTCTCGGTATGAGCGGTTACAGCGCATTTTAATGACAGCATCAATGGAGAAGCTTGATATTAAAAACCATCTGATCCAGGATTTCAAGATATTTAAATGAAGTAAGCGCCCTTCTCCTACCTGTTATGCACACACAGAGACATGCACACAATGCAGTCTGGCCTTAATGCGCTTGGCCAGCCTTTGTAATTAATTTTTATTTGCATCTATTGGATCAGGAGAAATTAATTAAATCTCTCTGGACACAAAGATGGTATCCATACCACATCCATCTTTCTGTGTGAGAGCGAGAGAGCATGGCCACTGCCCACTCAAAAGGAAGCCAAACATGATTCACTGAAAAGATTCTTTGAGGCCAATGTAAGACTAGATGGAAAAAAAAATTGTGAAGGCTCTTATAATTCAATATGCCAATGCTTTCTTAAGGGGCCATATCATGTAACTTTTTTGTGCTTTTATAGCATTAGTCAAGGTTTCCTTTTTCAATGCATTTAGTTTAGCATCTGCAAATCATTTATAATTGGTTAACCTCTTTGCATGTGAAATAAGCAATTTAAGGGTTGCAGTTTTGCCGTCTGGTCTAAAATAGTTGGCACTGCCCTATCCTTCTATTATAGCTTTTTTTTGTAAAGCCTGCATTGTGACACATTCAGGAAGCAATCCATGCAGACAAGGGTGGGCAAAATAACGATAGTCACAATAAACTGGTAAAAATTTGACATCAGTATACATTTTGAATTGTCTCTATTGCAGTTATGCTCATGTGCTGTAAATTTATCAAAATTTATCATTTTGATGTATTTTTAAGCCTAACCAGTTTAAACTTTCATGTTATTTTAAGCCGTTCAAGTGCAATAAGTTTGGTAGTTGCATGCTTTCTGTGCACACGCACCGATCGGTATCTGTTTTCTATTGTATTTAGTTGTATTATTGTTTGTAATTAGATTCTTTGTTCGTTCTTATTTTATTACTGTTTACTTGTTTTCAATAAGCTTGATAACTTTTTTTAATTCTGTACATATGTTAGACTAATATCAGTGTTTTTTAACAACCTTATTTCCAGCAAAACAATGTCACAATGAGCAAATGTTCTAAAATGAGTTATTTTTATGTTCATTCTCCATTAAAAGACCTTCAGAATGATGTATGATTGATTGTAATCAGACAAAAAATGACTGAGCTACACCTGTTTGAAGTCGATAGAGTCAGCAAAGTCAATTTTGAGAAAAATCGAGCAAAAGTTTTCTGAAGGTTCCAAAGCAAAATCACAGAGCAATGTTGCATCTTTTCCTCCAGTTCTTTTCTTAATAATAATTACTATATTAATAATCACAATATAGCTATTTTTTATTTTATATTTATTATAAATAAGAACAGATGCAAAAAACAGTAGAACAAATATAAGAAAGAAACAAATAATGCATTACCTTTTTCATTTTACATAAACAAAAGCATTCACGTAAGAAAAACAAATAATCAAATTTAAAAATCCCTTAAGTCTGTTAATTTTAAAAAATGGATTATTAAAACTACAAAAGCAGTTCAATCAAGAGCAGCGAGTAATTCCCTCTTTTCTTTTATTGGTAGGTTAACATTAATGAGGCGGCCTATATTAAGACCCACTGTAATGCATGGATCTAATATAATGTTACACATCAGATGTTTTTCCCTAACAGTTCCCCGAACGTTCACTTAAGACATAACAGATTATGTTTGCGTGAATACTTAAATACTGTAATTTGTATATGTATCGGGATCGCGCGCAGTCAGAAGAGCCTTTATGCGCACGCTTCGGATGACAGACAACGTGAGAAGCAAGCGGAGAAAAGGTACTCCTCTCAGAAAACGTACAAATAAAGGTAATTAAACATCTAAAATTATTATTAGGAGCATTGGGATCGCTAGACGAGGGCTTAATGAACTCATTTTATTAGCCCGTGCGCATTCCGACTCATTTTGCCAGCACGGGTCACATATTGTGATTTATACAACAGTTCGTTCTGGTTCTCAAATCTGATTGGTTGAGAACCGTGAGATATTGTACTGGTATCGCTACAGGAACGCCCTTTCACGATTTTGTATCACTCTGCTTGTTCTAGCCGGGTCTATGTTTTTTTTTAATTATTCACTGAGCTAATCGTAGAG